ATTGGGTCGGACTACGTCAGGCTATCAATGTACAGAACTGGATTGGAAATATATCTTTGCATAGAAATGCATTATTTTGTTTACATATAAAGATTTTAGTAGCTTTTTGAAAACTAAAAAATGGTGAAAAGTTTCAGGGCCATCTTGTATTTCAGGACATAGCTTTGGTTGTTCTTATCAATTTGCTTTGCTTTTTTTAGGATACTGTAAGCTGTTTATCAAATTTAATAAGCTGAAAAAGTTCTTATTTCTCTCATTAAAATATGTACTGATGTAGTTTTAATTGTTGAAAGAAAAAGCTTTTTGATCCTGCAAATAAAGTGTTGATGTTATAGTCATGGTTCCACTTGTGGCTGTTGTGTGATCAAATTGAAGGTTTCTGTAATTTAAGCTGAACTTCAACCCAAGCCTGTCTCTGGTGGAAAAAGTAATATTTTAAATAATCGCTTCTCTTTTTACACAGAGATCAAATGTTATCCATTTTTTGAGAAAATAAAATCTTCATTTTAAGTTTATTTTATTCAGACAAATCTCCTGTGTTATTTTCTTCCTCCATATTGTAGAGTTTTCGGGCATTTCCTCTCAGTTTCTTCCCCCCCTGGATTTCTCACTGAAGAACACAGTGAACTGTTTCCATTCTGATAACTCAGCAGCATGTTTCAAGTCACAACTGACAACAACCATTTTTTCCATTAATTATTGGTACAGAGAAAACCTATAGTTTGTATGCTGTGACCATGGTAAACAATCATGCCAATTAAAGTTTATTCTCATTTATGACTGTGATGAAGAGAGCTGGAGACAATATTGTGCATAAATGTCTAAGAACAGTTAAAATCTTTGCTGAACCTACACATAAATATGAATAAACGGATTACTGGAAGATACTTTATCGACCACATACACTCAGTACTCGAATTGAGGGGAGATGGCATCCACCTTATTAAAAACATTGACATTTTATTTCATTTCAAAAAGTTTATTTCAAACCTGCACACTACATATAATGACAAACAAAACATATGCATGGTTTGAAAAGGGGATGGAAGAAGCAAAAGCTTATACATGTCCAATCCCCTCCCGTTCATCCCAGGGACACCTGCAAACGACAAGACAAAGACAAGACAAACAACACATCCACACTCATGCATACAAGACAACACACTGGCCCAATGCTCCCCATCCCTGCAACCCCCTCCCTACACCACACCACCCTCATAGAACATCACTCACTCTCTTCCAGGTATTTTCTCAGGACATCCCACTTAAATATCTTTTTGAAACAGTTTATGTTTTCACAACACTTTTGTTCCTCCGCTAAACTATTCCAGAGGGTGACACCACAACTTGAGATGCACATTGATTTCAAGGTAGTTCTTACTTTTGGTTGGTATTGTTGGATGCAGGGAAAATAACTTTGCAAATAAATAGAAATTGACTCTGCACACGAAAGAGGTTCAAGCAGCCCCTGCAGGAGCGGAAGGAAAAGCCCAACCCAACCTCAAGCTTTCCTCCCCGAATCCCCTCCTGCAGCTGTCTTTTATTGACAGAACATAGCACATGATTACAAAACAGTATTTGTTCATACATAACAATTGATCAGTTCATAAAGACAAGATGCTCCATCAGAATGACAAGGCAAGATGGTCTCCTGACTGCATCACAAAACACAGTGCAGCAGGCATGATGGTTTCCTGACTGCAAAAATGTTTTATAAGCACACAATTTTATAATCATCATTGATTAAACCTGACAGGTATAATACATTTTCGCCTCTAAGATTATAAGTGCGAAGTGCCTCCTGCTTCTGAAAGAGTTTTAAGACATTTTCTGGAATAGAGCCAGTTGACGCTCTGAACATTATTTGCACAGTTCTTAAGTTTACAAGATCAAAATTTTTTAAATTGGAGTATTGTAGGAACAATAATTATGTGGGATGTAAATAATTTACTTTATGAACGATTCGAATGGCTCTTTTTTGCAGTGTAACCAGGGGCTGAAGATTGGTCTTAAAATTGTTTCCCCAAACTTCGATACAATGCACAAGGAACAATGCATTTTGGTTGGTTTATTACCAAATGTGTAAAATTCCTGCTATTTATTAACAGCAATGGCAATAATATTACCTTTTCAACAT